ACACACACACACACACACACACACACACATTCTTCTTTAAATTTACAGTAGGTCAGAAATTGAACCTTAAAATCAGGAAAAGGGTGTTATGCTTTTACTTCTCAATTCATTATATGACTCAAGTCTGCTCTTACTTACATATTGGTTAGAAAAATCTCTACAATAGCACAAGCCATGATATTTAGCTCCCCCAATAAACAATGGGATTCTTACCAGAAGCTCTATGCCCTGTTCATATTGGCATAGCCAGCTAACATATTATAAATTTGACTGGTTGAATAAATGCCCAAATGAGTACATGAATATGTCAGTATTCTAACAAGAGAGGTTTAACAAATACTTACATAACTGAACAGCTGCCACTGCAAATTCATAGCATATATATGAGCAATGAGAAGTTCTATCAGGCCACTTTGAAATTTAAACCAAGATTGGCTTGAAATTTTTCATTCAGATTCAAGTGAAAGAGACAGAGTTATAAATCCTCTCCCAATTTCATCAGAATAACATAAACTCCAGCTCAGTTTCTGTGTATAAAATGACTGAGATGTGATCTTTAGTCAGGACTTCAGCTATACTTGAATTTAAAAAATACCTCAGAACAAAGAAAAATATGTCTTGGGTCACATTCCAGAGAGTCTTTCTAGAAAGCATTGGGGAAAAAATAAGCTACCATTCACTGACTGTATATTATGGCCAAAATGCCAGACTTGTAAAAATTTGATGTATGAATTTTATTTCACTTAATCATCACAACAATACACTGAAATATTTGTTAAATTACATACTATAACCAATTAATATCATTATTTTATATGCAAAGCTAGTGAAAGTTACATTTTAATGGCTTTCATAAATGTTAATCAGATCCTAACCTCTTCTAGAATATTTTACTTTGGACAGTGTTAGACAATTGTAGACAACTATGATATTTTCCTTTCAATATTGAGACTGAAATTAATAAATAAAGGGTTATTTTTTATAGAGAGAATTTAGTGGCTTTAAAGTAGTTTTTCATTTGTTTTGTTGTTGTTTGTTTTGTTTTTTGTTTTGTTTTGTTTTGTTTTTTGAAAGAGGGTCTCAGTATGTAGTTGAGACTGACCTGAAACTCACTATGTAGCCCAGGCTGGTCTCGAACTCACAGTGATCCTCCTGCCTCAGTCTCCCAAGTGCTGGGATTACAGGTGTGTGCCACTATGCCCAGCTTTAAATAGTTTTAAATGTTCCAAATGAATTTAGAGTTACATTGAGTTTTTACTATTGTTCATTTTTTCCAATTTCCTTGAGTCATAGTTTCATTACATCTATAAATAATAATAATAAAGAAAGAACAAATTACAAAGCTTGAATGAGATTAAGTGACAGTAATTTTTTCTGCCTCTGGTTTCAGCATCATACACAGAGTCTAAACAATGAAGAAGAAAAACTACCAAGAAAAATGTTTGAAGGGGTTAGATCTCACTTGTTAGATGACAGCCTGAGAAGCTCTACTGACCCTCTGCAGAAAAACAAGCAGAAACTGGCCCACTTACAGTCTTGAAATTATCCAAAAGGCATTTAGCAAATGAAGAAACAAGTATTTCTGGAGACCATTATTAGTGAAATAAACCAGAACAGAAAGGCAAATACTTCATGATCTCATTTATAAGTGAAATCTACACAAGGGGCAATTCATAGAAGTAAAGTGAGACGGTGATCAGGGAGTGGGGGACAATGGGAGATATTGGATACTGATCACAAATACCAACTTCTAGTGATGAGAGTAAGTTCTGGGGATGTACTCTGCAGCCTAGAATGTGTAAAGATTAATAACATTGCATACTTGAAATTTATTCAGAGAATAGATCTAATGTGTGAATACTATATAAAAAGATAATCATATGAGTTACAATACATAACTATAATATACAATTATATACAATTTTCATTTGTCAGTTATATTTCAGTAATTATGGGCAAAAGAAAAATCATAAAATGTATTAAAGAATATCTACTAAAAGTAAGAACAATGAGTTGTGACATTTGAGCCAATTACTTCTATTTCTCTCCCAGTCTGTTTCTCTGGCATTGCCTCTCTCTCTCCCTCACACTCACTCTAGCTGTCATTCCTCTTATTCCTGATCCTTTGAACTTGTTCTCTTTTTCTCTCCTTCATCAAAGATGAGCTTTACCCTCAGATACCAATCAATGGTTGCCATATTGTATCAGTTAGGGACAGGCCGCAGCATGTTAAAGAGGCTAAATTCCAAGTAAATGTTGCTAGAAGGTGGAGGGCTACATTCCTCCACCCAGCTCACTCTCAGGAAGGAGAGCCTATTCTGTGCATGGTGGGTAAGAACATCAAGGTTCTGATTGCCCTTCTCTTACTCAGTTCAAGCGTAAAGCAGCAATGCCACACCAGAACAGTCAAACCACAAAACCAGAGGACCAGAGGCTAACTCTTCCGGCCAGTGCCTGGAGTAAGATGGAGAGATTTTGCCCAAACAGAGAAGATATCCATAAGTACAGAGAACTCTGAGACTATGTCCAAAGGAACTGACATTGTTTGAAACAGTGTGGTAAAGTTAAAGCTCAAGTGCATTTGCGAAAATAACAGCATAAAGAGCAAATGGCTTAGGGGCCGGGGATTTAGCTCGGCAGTTTGGTGGCCTGCCTTGCAAGAGCAGGAACCCGAGTTTTATCCCTGGTACAAAAAAAAAACAAAAAACAAAAAACAGCAAATGGCTTATCCATAGGTCAGCTAGCTCACCAAGGAACCATAGGAAAAGATGGCTAGGAAATAACCACCTGGTATCAAGCAAATTTCAAAGACTGTCTGCAGGAACTATCCCTGTCTGATCAGACTACAGATTGCTCTTTTTATCTCTGGATCCCATATTCACAAGGTCAACTAATCTTGGATCAAAAACATTTGGAAAAAAATTGTGTCTACTGAAACACTACCAATTTTTCCCCTTCTCCTTATTCCCCAAACAATATAGAATAACAACTATGTACACTGCATTTACATAATATTAGGCACTATGAATAAAGATAATTTAAGTATACAGAAGTATATGTGCAAGGTATTTGAAAACACTATGTCATTTTATATAAAGGACTTGAGCATCCACAGATGTTGCTTTTGAGGTTCCTGGAACCAGTGCCTCCCAGACACTGAGGGACAATAGAGCTATCATGCGGTAATGAATGGAGCCTGAGAGATGAATACGATACCAAAGGAGACAGAAGTCAGCATAGGAGACACCAACCAGGATCTTGCTTAGACCACTATCATCCCAGATATTTGTATGCATGCCCTAGGCTATGCTCTTTTAGGAGAAACATGAAGGGTTTCACTCCATAGCACAGATAGATTTTTTTTTAATTGAAGACAAGTACAATTTCAGTTTATTCTTGAACAAAACAGTATTTGTAAACATAATTATCCCCCAGTGCAATATACTTATTTAATGACCAACAAGCTTCCTAAGCACATTCATCAAAGAATGAGGTGACTGTTCATCGGACTCAAGTACCTGTATCATCCTGAAGTTTATATCCTTCATGATACCTCTCAATGTAACATAAACAGATAGGAATTAGAATCCTTGCTGAAAATAATCAGCTGTTGCTACACTACACACACAATGGTAGGTTCCACGTGGTGTACTTCTGGCTATAAAAATCCAATCAAACTTAGCTATTACATAGGGCTTCAATTTGAATTTGGGGTCACCTTTCAAAAAATGTCAATAGCAATTTTGCCAAAGTATATCATGGAACCTGCCCACATTAGGACATGTGGCAATAGTAATAAACAATAATAAACAAGAGACATATGTAAAATTTACAAAGATGTAAAATTTCGTTTTACAAGCAAATCTTCAATACAAATTAATTTTTTTCTCTTTTTAATTTCAGGGGGCACTTAGAAAAGACATTAGTACATAAATCTTTTTTCTGTATCCTTCTTTCTCTTTTACCACCCTCTTACTTATGCATTGTATTAGGCTGCTCAGGCTGCCATAGCAAAACACAGACAGAATGATTTACACAACAGAAATTTATTTGTTCACACCTCTGGCAGCTGAAAGCCCCAAATCAAGATGGTGACACATTTGATTTCTCCTGAGATCTTTCCTTGGCTTGTAGACAGAACCCACTTACTGTGTCCTTATACGATCTTTTCTCTGTGTGATCACATCTTTTGTATATTTTTCTTTTCTTATAAGGACAGCAGTCATGTAGGAGTAGGATTCCAACCTTAGGACACCAGTTAACCTTTAATCACCTATTTCCAAAAACAGTTCAGGTGGTAAAGCCCCAAAATATGAATTTTAAGAGGGACACAATTCAATCTACCAAATATACACTCTCCTTTCTTTCTTCACCCTCCCTTTAAACATGTAGGCATCTGTTTAAGGGTTAGATGCATTTAAGTTGGTCATCAAGCTTCAGGCCAATGAAGGACTTCGATGTCCAATGACAAGCTAAGTTATAGAGCTAAGGACAGAACCAGACTTAGAATTCCTGGGCTATGTGGATTAAAAACTAGGCTAGGGTGATGAGAAATTATCATTCTACACCCAGACAAAAGTAAAGAAAATTTCTTTCCCTTTTCTATCATCCATTTAACCCTTTCTTTATTCAAAAATAGAAAGATGAAAATTGAAAAGAAATGTCATAGTCTTATTCCACAGTACATGGAGTTTCTCACTGATAGTTTATTTGGATAGGTCTAGGTGTTTCTCAGAGTAGTCTGGGCCTCATTTGCTGATGAGCTTCTCCAAAACCCTAGAATGGGCTCCCACTGGTGTGGAATTGGGCAGGTAAAGGGCAAGGCCTGCAGGGCCTCCCCTTGCCACAGCATCTCTTGGGGCTGCAGGCTCATCCTGGTGACCCAGCACAGCCCTTCAGAGGCTGGTGTCCACCAGGTGCCCAGGCTGTGGCAGCGCCTGCTTCCTTCTGTTTATGGCGTTGAGGACTTTCTTCCTGGGACCCAGCTGCATGTGTATGTTCTGAAGGTCCTCATCAGAGCAAAACAACAGAGCTTCCAGATCAATCTGCTCTCTCACGAGAAGGGGAAGGAATTCTCCCAGGTGCAGGGACTGCAAGAACACTCCCAGGAGAGCTGCATCAGCCTCCTCTTCCTCCCACTCGATTTCATCCTCAACCCAAGGTAGACCACCTACAAGGCCGTTTTCTTCCCCTTCTACATCAGCCTCAGCTTCATCAGCCTCTGCTGTTCCTTGTCTTTGGAGCAATTCCCTGGGCATTTGAAATCCTGACCCGCTCTTGCTGTTTGAGAGGTCTTCGGAGCTCAACACTCGGTTTCTCATAAAAACAGTATTTCCAAGACCTGGACGGTTGAGAACGGATTCACGTTGCGTATCTTGGTCCTCGTCTGGTGAGAATGTAAACTTCTTTGTGAAGTTCCCCGCTAACGAGTCTTCTTCCTCCTGTCTGAACACTTCCATCACATTCCTCTGCCCACTTCTGCCTTCCTTCCCCATCTCCTCTGCTGTATCTTTGCTTTTCTTGAACTTCAACCTGAAGGTGTCTTTAATACCCTTAGAGAGTGGTCCAAATGTACTGGAAGCAGGAGCACGTGAGAAGGAAGACCTGGAGGACTTGCTCTTGAAAGAAGGAAAAGCCTCAGATTCCTCCTTGCTGTAGACACGGCCATCTTATTTTGATGTTTTTCCTGGAGCTTTTCACATTCTTTGATTTGCCTCCTGGCATTCTTCTGAGCCTGCTCCTTCAGCCTGGTGATCTTTTGGGGATTTACGACGTTCTGGGTGGTGGCAGCCTTATCCAGGAGGGCAACATATTCACCCTGCTCCCTGCTGGCAGTAGCATCCAGTGGAGACTGTAAGTTATTATCCAGGGCAAAGATGGCACCGAAAGTGATCAGGAAGGAGACACAGTGGGCATGGCCATTGGAGGCCGCATAATGTAGAGGAGTGTTCCCCCAGATGTCCCATCTATCGGGGTCCCCTCTGGAGTCAGTTTCAGGGAACTCTGCTTTCATGGCTGAGCTGCAGAAGCAGTTCGCAGAATATTCAAGGCAAGTATCAGGAAGGGCCCAGATAGATTTTAGTAAAACAGTCTCTCATGTCACTAAGCAGATCGTGAACAGGCAACCAATCCCAAGTCAGGGAGGAAGGGAAAACATAAATGGTTACTTAGGATTAAGGGAGATAGGATAATTAGAAACCATTGGCTGAAGAGTACAGGGCTTCTTTGGGGGATAGTTGTAAATGTTTTAAAATTGATTGTGGTAATGTTTTCACAACTCCATGAATATTCTAAAAGCCATGCACAAATTGTGTAGTGTGTAAATTATAATAAAGATAGCTTTTAATTTATTCTCAATAAGGTTAGTTTTTAAAAATACTTAGAAGAAATTATTAGGTATAGGAAGTGACAGTTCACTCTAGAAAGCTTTGGTTTATTTAGACTATCAAGAGAAAGAGATCATTTTCAGCCAAAACAAAAATTGTAAACGTGCCTGGGTTTCTTCAAATAATTTGGCAAGGGACCTGTGGGAATTGGGTTTGGAGCTGCTGCTGGGCCAGCACTTCCAAAGAGTAGTGACGATGATTCCGGAGTGGCACATCATTTGTCACATTTGTTGCTGGCTGAAATAAACACTGCAGCCTCTGGGGAATGCACTGGAAGTGTGTAAAGCCTTTCCAAGTTTGCAGTATGAGGAATTCTGTAGCCCTGTGCATCTTGTCACAGAGCTCACAGTGATCTTATGGCCAGGAGCCCCAGACTAGAAAGAAAAGTGAAAGACTTCAGGTAAGTACATCTAATTAGGAAAACCACTTTACCTCCATGTTGTTCTACTTCCTTCCCCCAAACTAAATCCTTCTCAGAAAACAAAATCACACTAGAACTTGTTTTGGGGAAACAGGGTTATTGAAAAAGTTGATGGTTTTCAGGTAATGCTAGATCTTTATTATAATTTTTGAGGGTATTAACCAAAATGTTTTTTTTTTCTTTTTAATTCTTGTTGAACCTCTTATCTGGCTTTGACGTTTGTATGGCTCAGGCAAAATAGGCTGTTGAAATTCATTCTAACTTGTATTAGAGGGCTTCGCAATCGATCCTTGTTATTTATTTAGGCTTCACTGTGGAAAGGTGTTCCTCTGCAAAGATGATATTCTGTGACTTTCAGTGCAGTATGCATGGAATAATTAGAAGGAAAACTAATTTTTGTACAATCAAATCAGTGGCAGTCATTGAAATGATATTCATTTAATCATCCAACAGCATTGACTCAACGTCTATCAGGTATGGTGCTTTGTGGCTGTAAAAATCAAAAGGAAATACCATCCTCCCATCCACCACAAAGGTCCAGACTGAAGCTCAACTAACAAAACACAGATTAGCAATAGAAAACTGTAACAAGTTTAACACAATTTTACAGGACACAGTGCCATCAGAAATGAAGAGCAAAAGACCTAGGGAAACCTGCATTTTAATATTAATTTTCTCAGACAACTGGGTAGACTGAGCGGAAAAAGTAGTGTGACCTGAAAAGTAATAGTAGGACACTGAGGGAGGTCAGCAAGACCTGTTTGTTCAAGAGCCTCTCTTTCTCTCTTTTTTTTTTTCTAATAGATAAATGCATATTTTATTTTTATTATTGGTACATTTTAGGTATACAATACAGTTACATTCCTCATGGGGATCTTGAACCTTTACATAACTTATCTTGGTTTTATTTTTTTCCCCATTCCCCAGCCCTTGCTGCACCCCCTCCACCCTACCCCTATTTACAAAGATATTGTTTCCATGTTTTTCCTTTTCTCATATTTTTTCTTTTGCCTTCTTACCTTTCCCCTACCCCTCATACTTCCCCTACTCTTTTAGACCTTTTCTTCTGATTACACTGTATCAGTTATACATTTTGATTCTTATTTACATGTTTACTTTTTCATACCAGAGAAAATATTCAGTATTTACACATTTCTTATTAATTTCACTTGAGAGTATGGCCTAAATTTGCATCCATTCAGCTTTAAATGTTTCTAGTCTTTCGTTCTTTGTGGCTGATTAGTGTTCCATTTTATAAAACACACACACACACACACACACACACACACACACACACACACACACAATCTTTATCCAGTCTCCTCCAGTTGATGGGCAATTAGGCTGTTTCCAAGCTTTAGCTATTACAAACTGTGCCGCTAAAAACTTGAGTGAGCATATATCACTGTGGTATGATTCTTTTAATTCTTTTGGAAAGATACCCAGCAGAGGGATGGCTGGGTCAAATGGAACCTCTAGTCCCAGCTCTTTGAGGTATCTCCATATTGATTTCCATAGTGGTTTCACCAGTCTGCACTCCCACCAACAATGGAGAAGGGTTCCTTTCTCCCCACAGCCCACCAGTATTTGTTATTGGTTGATTTCTTGATAGCAGCCATTCTTTGTGGGGTGAGGTGGAATCTCAGTGTTGTTTGCATTTGCATCTCTCCAATGACCAGCGATGTTGAACATTTTTTCGATATGTTTATTTGCTACTTTTACTTGTTTGTCTGAGAAATGTCTGTTCATTTCGGATGTCCATTTTTGAATTGTGTCTTTATATTTGGGGGGGGCTGTTTTTTTTAGTTCTTTATATATTCTAGATAGTAGATCTTTCTTTCTCTTTTTGAAGCATTCCCTCCCTGAGGCAGCAACTTGCCATTTAAGCGTCTCCAGAAGAGTAGGGGAAATTTACAGAACAACAGTTGTAGATTTTTTGGCTTTCTTTCAATGATAGGATGCTTAATTTTTATGATCTGCTTTGAGGGAAAGCTGTGGGAAGGAGAGAGGAGGGCAGAAGAATCCCAGGAAGAACTTGTTCCTGAAGGTTATTTCCTTCAGTTCAAAATACTGAGCATGCCAGAGTGGCATATTGGGGTACCATGTTCTGAGCTCCAACAGGGCTATGGCAATGCCAAGATATGACACCCAGACCAAAGGAACACACTAGTCAGTGTCTTTGCCTTACAGCTGACTCAAACTGGCATATTGATGAGATGTCTGTGACAGAGATTATTCTTTTGGTGCCACGGCAATTCTCTTTACTTTCTCTTAGAGAAGAGGAAGAATACCCACCCTTTTGTATTAGAAAGAGTGTTTATCCTTGTGGCTCTGAATGTTTGGCCAAAATTGACTAGATAAATGAAGTAACAGATTAGATTGCACAGTCATGATTGATAACTAGAATACACTTAGATGCAAAACTACCAACGTCTTTGCTGTGTTTTACTCAAAATTACTTAAATTGAAATACAGCTACAAAAGTACTTTCTTATTTACCACTTTCAAATTTCTGAAATACTGTGCTATTGCAATTTAGCTACTAAATTTGAGAAGTTTAGAAGCTATCAACAAGAGGTCGTAATTTTGAAGAGAATTCCAAAACCACAGTGGTTTCAGAACAACAGTGTAAACACCACCTGAGGTCTGCCCCACTGACACAGAGACTGGGGTCTCCCTCATGGTCCAGACCCTATGTACGCCAGCATATTTCAATTTTGAGCTTTTGTTTTTTAACATCTTTAAAGTTTTATTTCTATTTGCTAAATCTATGCAATACTTTCACATGATTTTTAAAATAAATTTAAACGGTGTTGATGTTCTTATATAACTCAGTCCAATTTAATGGAGGCAAAAACTTTATAACTGCTTCCATGTTTTCATGGTACATGTTTCTTGATTAGTTTTATGGCCTGATTAGTTTCAGACATCATATATTAAGGACTTACCCTTCATCATTACATCTTGTTGTCCTGTTTTAGTTATATCATATTTCATTAAATAATTAGTACTCATATTAATATATCTATTAACTCTAAATGTCATAGAATTAAATAGCCAGCTAGATATTATGACTCTACTTAACTTTGTGCTTCAGTGTTTTTTGTCATTCCTGCCCTATTTGCTAATCTAATACTCCTAATTCTTAATTATGCATCTACTATATCAACTATTTTAGATTCTATGAACTTTTCTTCTGTATCTGTCTGCACTTTTGCTTCTTCTGGTCAAATTCTAAAGCTGGAGTGTGTGTGTGTGTGTGTGTGCACATGTGTGCATCTGGGACATTTTATATTCCGGCAGTACTCCATCATTGTAGTACATAGTATCATTTTTCATTTCTTTTCATAGCTGCATGGTACTTCCTTATTTGGGGTCCACCATATTTTCTTCTACTTGTGTTCTAAATATAGGTTTTCCTTGTAGTGTTTTGCTTTTGAAATGGTGCTGAATCAAATATTTTTGAATGCAAGTATTTTTATATATTGTTTTGATTGATTCCTAGAATTTATCTCACTTGGTCAGAAGATGTATTTATGTATGATGATGCTAGTTATTGCTAATATCCCTTCCTTTGGCTTTTATATTTTGCTTTTTTGGGGTGGAATATGAGGATTAATTTATTTTTGTTTATTTTTTGAAATTTTTCTAAAGAGTTTATTGGTACAACTTAGGTATATAGTACAGTTACGTTAATCATTGGGATCTTGAACCTTTACATAACATATCTTGGTTCTTATTTTTCCCCATTCCCCTGCCCTTTCTTTACGCCCTGCACCCTACCTCTTTACAAAGTCTTTGTTTCCATGTTTTTCCATTTCTCATATTTTTTCCTTTCTTACCTTTCCCCTACCCCTCCCACTTCCCCTACTCCTTTAGAACTTTTCTTCCCTTTACATTCTTATGAGTTATAAATGATATTACATGTTTATTCATAATTTCTTGAACCTGATACTTTTCAAATGGGGGAAACTTTCAAAGTAATAAGTGGGAAATGGAATGTCAGCCTTAACCTGCAAATTTTTTATTGTGAGATAGAGTGCCTTTTCACATGATTCACAACTTCTTAAAACATCACTTCTTTTTCTGTTAACATTTTTCATATTCTGTATCTCATTTAAAAATTAGAGGAAATTCTTTCATTTTAAGCATCACTATAACTTCAAATTATTTTAGAATCATAGATATTTCTAGCTCAATCCTAAT